AATATTTTCTTATGAAATTGATTACTATAATTTTTGTTGACTGTATCGAATTAATTATGACTAGATACGAGTCGATCGGAGTCAGAAAAATTGAGGAAAAAGCATAATACTTGGTTAAATTGGAGCAAGTCGAGGTAAGTGACTTGTCTAACTTTGTGTGGGGGAAATTTCCCTAGGATTGATAATTGTAATGTGTGGAAAGTCGTATACACGAGGTGACGAGTGTGTGCACGGGCTAAATATGAAAGATTATGTTTTAAATTGTGTAGATCATTGTTGCGCATTAATTAAATTATTTTATTTTGTTATATACTTAATTATTGATTTAATGTTTATATTTTTAAATTTGCTTGACCATTTTCTGCTAATTATTTTATCTGTTTAGTTGAAACTTGGTTTCTTTTATTCTGTGCATTATTTGAAGGTTGATTTTATTTAAATTAAATATTATTAATATGAAGTATTTGACACTTTTAAATTTGATATTGAAGCAACATATTAACGATTTTGAAATATTATTTTCCTGAATTATTTACTCCTGAATATTTTTGTAAGATTTTCGTACTCATTGTGATGGACTAGTGAGCTCTTTATTGTGGAAAAATATTATTGTTGAGTTATTTTGTCATGAGTCGTGAGCTCTTTATTGTGGAACAATATTGTTGATGAATTATTTTGGCAAGTTAAATTATTTGAGCACCTAAGGTGCAAATTGTGATATATTATGATATTAATACGTATGTGGTGGTATAAGGTCTGAGTATTGAAACGCATGCGGTGAGATAAGAGTGTCTTGATACGCGTGGCTAATAGGGGGAACTACTAGAAGTCATGCGGTGTGATAAGGATGGCTAAAACGCAGGATGCTATTTCGGGAAAAATATTTTCTTTAAAATAAATTGTGAAGGCTCCCGCGGTGAAATAAGGAAATGAGATATTGTGAATTTGTTTATGATTTGGGACTACGAGGCGGTACCTCGGGAGTGCCCTTGTTGATATTGATTTATGGCCGCAGTTGCGTTTGATTATTGTTGTGATTTTCTTAAAGTTGAAAAGAATTCTGTTTTGTTTCCACAAGGTATTTATTTGCCATTATTTGATGTAATTAAATGTGACATACTACTTGATTCATTTCCATTGTCATTTTATCTTATAATATTGTTTAAACATTTTACCATGCCATTATTTATTCTCCAGTAGGGTCTGACCTGACCTCGTCACTACTCTACCGAGGTTAGACTTGGCACTTACTGGGTAC